ATATATATATATATATATATATATATATATATATATATATATATATATATATATATATATATATATATATATATATATATATATATATATATATATATATATATATATATATATATATATATATATATATATATATATATATATATATATATATATATATATATATATATATATATATATATATATATATATATATATATATATATATATATATATATATATATATATATATATATATATATATATATATATATATATATATATATATATATATATATATATATATATATATATATATATATATATATATATATATATATATATATATATATATATATATATATATATATATATATATATATATATATATATATATATATATATATATATATATATATATATATATATATATATATATATATATATATATATATATATATATATATATATATATATATATATATATATATATATATATATATATATATATATATATATATATATATATATATATATATATATATATATATATATATATATATATATATATATATATATATATATATATATATATATATATATATATATATATATATATATATATATATATATATATATATATATATATATATATATATATATATATATATATATATATATATATATATATATATATATATATATATATATATATATATATATATATATATATATATATATATATATATATATATATATATATATATATATATATATATATATATATATATATATATATATATATATATATATATATATATATATATATATATATATATATATATATATATATATATATATATATATATATATATATATATATATATATATATATATATATATATATATATATATATATATATATATATATATATATATATATATATATATATATATATATATATATATATATATATATATATATATATATATATATATATATATATATATATATATATATATATATATATATATATATATATATATATATATATATATATATATGCCGGGAGAAAAAAGTCATCAGAAGTTCGGACATTTCAGTGTTTGGTTGCTAAAGAGTGAATATTTTCGTGGTTGATTCGCTTGCGTTCGAGTGGTGTGGGGGTGTGTGGGGGTGTGGGGCTGTGTGGAGGTGTGGGGGTGTGGGGGGTAGGGTAGAGGAGGAGGAGGAGGTGGTTATCACATTAATAATCAGAACTGCTGAAGAGTTTAACTTTTTTCTTTCTTTGTTTCAACAAGATTTATTATGGTTATCGTCATTTTTCATCTTAATGGGCTGAGTGTTTTTTCTTTCCGTTGAATAAACTAGCAAGCCCTAAACGTTTCTAAATGCTTAATAAGTTTATAAGCCAGTTTGATAAATAACTTACTTGGCTCTACTTCGCACAGATGATAAGAAATTCATCTTTGGTGAGAAAATAAAAGGATAAACAACAATTAGGCGAATAAATTATCAAACTCTAACCATTTTATATAGATAACAGAACAACAATAAAAAAAATCTACATACAAAATAAACAGATAAAGATTCGAAACCGCTTCTGGTTCTTTGTAATGCAAAGCCGAGAAAAAAATTCTCAGTGCGAGTTCCCTCCATTGGCATTCTGGATTTTGCTCGCGCGGGGAAGAAAACCCGAAAATCATAACGCATAGCTTTAACACGAGTGCGATCTCGGTCCAATTTAAGCGACTTTTCGGAAAATAATAAAAAAAAAGAACTAAGGAATTATACCACACACGCTCCTTTTTTGAACCTCAGTGCTATTTATGTGTAAGTATTTTAGTTTAATGCTACTTCGCAAATTTAGTCAGCCTTTTCAGTGCAATATCTTTGATGATATTGGGTCGAAGCCAATAACCCTTTGTTATCTTCCTTACCTTTTTTCACTTCTTTTTTTAGAATTCTTAGCAAAGCGATGATTGGTCTTGAAAATCTGGTTGTAATGTTCAATAATTATAAAATGATGATTACTCACCATGATTTTCACTAAATGTATCATTAATATCATAAATATAGGGTTTATTATCAATGGCAGATGTCAAATACCATTAATAATGTCGTTAGTTTTATCATAGAAATTTTATTAGGATCATAGAGAAGATTAGCAATGCCGGTAATAAGGAAAATGAAAATGATAATTATGATAATAGTGATAATGATCTCTCTCTCTCTCTCTCTCTCTCTCTCTCTCTCTCTCTCTCTCTCTCTCTCTCTATATATATATATATATATATATATATATATATATATATATATATATATGTATAATATTTGATTATCATTAATTTCATATTTCATTAGTATTTGTTATTCTTATTTCTTTTACATTTCATTTTCATTCGATTGCTTTATTCGTTCGAAAACGACTTGCACCGAAATGCTTATACGACCTTATAGACAAAATGAACAACAATTTCGAGAAATTGTTTAAGCTTGTGTTCCTCAGAGCAGTAATCA